GGGTCGAGGGAAAGCTGAAGGTGGGAGATTTGGTAATGGTCTACCGGGATTTCCTCCTGACTCCTGAAGCTCGGGACCGACTCATACCAGCCGCTGTCACCCAGTATTTAATGTGTCGGCACTCCGTGCCTACGAGAAGAACGCTATTCCTAATAGGAGACAGCCTACGCCAACGCCTATCACGGACCTTGATGGTCATGCCCGCTATGTGGTGGAGAACATTCTCAGTCACCGCCGCCGGCAGAATCAGCTTCAGCACTTAGTCAAGTGGCAAGGCTACTCTGATGCCACTTGGGAGCCTGAACATTATTTGTTGAATGAATCTGGTAATGACATTGTTCCACTTCAGAAGTACAAAATCTTGGCTTCTGCCCGCTGAGTTTTGCAGTTGAACTTCTAGTTTTCACCTAAACATTTGTTGAGCTTATTACACTTTAATTTGCATGGAGTTTCAGTCGTCTTATTGTGTTACTTCAGAAGCCTTTTTTGTCTCGCTTATTGTACTCTATTCCACTTGAGCATTTGGGTTATAAGCTCCTTCCTCTCCATAGGAGGGGGATGATGTAACAGTTTTCCCCTGTTTGCTATAACTTTACACTCCCTCGCACCCCATGCGTCTTACGCCTGTCTATTAGCACCTTCATTGGCGCCATTGCCACATGTATACTATCACCTTTTGCATATAACTGGTCGAGGCACGCTCCACCAGGTCTCTTACTTTTCAAGTTCGATTAAACCTGTTACAACAATAGTCAGCTACAATCAAGCAAGGCAGGAATACTGCAATAGTCAGCTACAATCAAGCAATGCAGGGATACTACAGTAGTCAGCTACAATCAAGCAAGGCAGGGATACTACAATAGTCAGCTACAATCAAGCAAGGCAGGGATACTACAATAGTCAGCTACAATCAAGCAAGGCGGGGATACTACAATAGCCAGCTACAATCAAGCAAGGCAGGGATACTACAATAGTCAGCTACAATCAAGCAAGGCAGGGATACTACAATAGTCAGCTACAATCAAGAAAGGCAGGAATACTGCAATAGTCAGCTACAATCAAGCAATGCAGGAATACTGCAATAGTCAGCTACAATCAAGCAATGCAGGGATACTACAGTAGTCAGCTACAATCAAGCAAGGCAGGGATACTACAATAGTCAGCTACAATCAAGCAAGGCAGGGATACTACAGTAGTCAGCTACAATCAAGCAAGGCAGGGATACTACAATAGTCAGCTACAATCAAGCAAGGCGGGGATACTACAATAGCCAGCTACAATCAAGCAAGGCAGGGATACTACAGTAGTCAGCTACAATCAAGCAAGGCAGGGATACTACAATAGTTAGCTACAATGCAAGGCAGGGATACTACAATAGTCAGTTACAATCAAGCAAGGCAGGGATACTACAATAGTCAGCTACAATGAAGCAAGGCAGGGATACTACACCCTCCCTTCCTACAGATAATTATGCCCTCGTTATTTTCAAAAGTAGGCAGGTGGACCAATGTTCTGTCGTGAGACAGTATGTCTTGGTAGACTGGTCGACTTGGTAGACTGATAAAGTAGGAACCCTGTGATAAAATGTGTGAAGGACCTGTCTCTCTGTGGAGCGGTAAAATGTATGTGTTCGCGTCTCAGTATTGGATGGTAAAAGGGATGTGTTCGATCGCGTCACCCTTATCTTGGAGACGGTAGCATTTCTTGATTCGCGTCTCTCTGAGACGGTAACATTTCTTGATTCACGTCTCTCTGGGACGGTACAACGGGAAAGGACTCGCTCACCATGTGGCGGTATAATCATTGTTACATGGACTGGTTATTTAAGTGTGTGCTTCCAGGGTATACAGCATTTTGCGTCTGATCCAGGTCAGTGACTGCTGCTCCAGCAAACCGATTGCTTGGTCTGTGCGGGGTGGACATGGTCGGGATGGGTAACGAAAAGGCTAGGAAACTTTGTTAACAGAACTGTGAGAAATCAGTTGTGCGGGAGCTTCAGTCTGGCGAAATGTTGGGTGATCCAGAACTGTGTACTGCATAACTATATCTGGACGTACATGGAGAAACAGGGAAGGTTGTGAGTCCGATGCTTTTTTCATCAAATGGTGGTACGGGGACTGGGAGTGGGATTGTCTGTGGGATGGAGTGGCTGATGGACCTGGAGAGCCTCATGTATCGAGTGTAATGTGGCAAACAAACAAAAAGGGAGGGATGTGACCGGGGAGACAATTTTGGCAGCAGAACGAGTTAGTAAGGGGAATATGGCAGCAATGATCATGAGGATAGTATGGAAACTACCGTGGGATTGTGGAGCTTGCATAATACGCGGCGTAGCTTGCATGATAGGGGTGGCATATGCACTCACGTGAGTAACAGTTGCATTTAAACGAGGTGATGATAGAGTAGTGGTACAGCAAGTAGGGTGACATACCTTGGTTGCAGGGAATACGGGTCGTGTAGCGCGAGGACGATAGCGAGGACGATAGCAATACGCTATGTCATGGCCAATCTTCTTGCAGGATCGGCAATAGGGACGGAGACGAAAGGGCCGAGGCCGCTTTGGTCGTATATATACCGGTAGTACAGGGGCATACCGGAGGGCATGAGATCTCGCTGGAGAATAATGGTGATTCACTTGGCCGGAACGCGTACGCCGCAGCGTCGATCTCCTGTGCGGATGGACTGTAGATCCGGGATTCTGAGTTGATCTCAGGTCGTCATGGGTTCAGAAACGCGGTTGGGACCAATAAACTTTGTTTTCCGCTCATTGGTGGAGGAGACTAGGAGAATACGCAGAAAGAAATCAAGTGAAAGGCTGCACTGGAGATGGGGTTCAAATCTGACAAAGTTTTAACCACCGCTACGACCAATGTAATAGGTAGCCGAATGGAGGCACAGTGCTTAACACTAAATAACTTTTACTTAGCCTTCCTCAGGTACACACCTGGATTATTCTGTAAAAAATATATGAAAACAGAAATGAGCAGAAGCTTTTATAGGTAACAGACTACATACACTAACGTATGGGGATACGCTACAAGTAAGCAAGGCAGCGATACTACAATAGTCAGCTACAATCAAGCAAGGCAGGGATACTACAATAGTCAGCTACAATCAAGCAAGGCAGGGATACTACAATAGTCAGCTACAATCCAGCAAGACAGGGATGCTACAATAGTCAGCTACAATCAAGCAAGGCAGGGATACTACAATAGTCAGCTACAATCAAGCAAGGCAGGGATACCACAATAGTCAGCTACAATCAAGCAAGGCAGGGATACTACAATAGTCAGCTACAATCAAGCAAGGCAGGGATACTACAATAGTCAGCTACAATCAAGCAAGGCAGGGATACTACAGTAGTCAGTTACAATCAAGCAAGGCAGGGATACTACAATAGTCAGCTACCATCAAGCAAGGCAGGGATACTACAATAGTCAGCTACAATCAACCAAGGCAGGGATACTACAATAGTCAGCTACAATCAAGCAAGGCAGGGATACTGCAATAGTCAGCTACAATCAAGCAAGGCAGGGATACTACAATAGTCAGCTACAATCAAGCAAGGCAGGAATACTGCAATAGTCAGCTACAATCAAGCAAGGCAGGGATACTGCAATAGTCAGCTACAATCAAGCAAGGCAGGGATACTACAGTAGTCAGCTACAATCAAGCAAGGCAGGGATACTACAATAGTCAGCTACAATCAAGCAAGGCAGGGATACTACAATAGTCAGCTACAATCAAGCAAGGCAGGGATACTACAATAGTCAGTTACAATCAAGCAAGGCAGGGATACTACAATAGTCAGCTACAATCAAGCAAGGCAGGGATACTACAATAGTCAGCTACAATCAAGCAAGGCAGGGATACTACAATAGTCAGTTACAATCAAGCAAGTCAGGGATACTGCAATAGTCAGCTACAATCAAGCAAGGCAGGGATACTACAATAGTCAGCTACAATCAAGCAAGGCAGGGATACTACAATAGTCAGCTACAATCAAGCAAGGCAGGGATACTACAGTAGTCAGCTACAATCAAGCAAGGCAGGGATACTACAATAGTCAGCTACAATCAAGCAAGGCAGGGATACTACAATAGTCAGCTACAATCAAGCAAGGCAGGGATACTACAGTAGTCAGCTACAATCAAGCAAGGCAGGGATACTACAATAGTCAGCTACAATCAAGCAAGGCAGGGATACTGCAATAGTCAGTTACAATCAAGCAAGGTGGGGATACTACATAAACAGTCAGGTAGGGCGACAACAAGATGCTAAACTGACTGAGGTACTGAGACATTGAACGACCTGACAACTAGCTCCAACGAATCTACGAATTGAAAAACACCAACCTTCTTATATCACTTGGAAGGCCCAATGAGGGGAAGGAAACGCAACAAAGATGTGCTCAAGGTATATCCCACGGGAGCAAAGAACGTCGAAAGCTACAAGATGATAAGGAGATTGGTAAGACCATTGGACAAACCGGTCTAACTACAACTCAACAACGCGAATCAACCAATGACGAATTACGTTATTTTCTCTGACCAATGCCATACTTGAAGTATGAATTTTATATTGTACAATTTTCGGATCACGAGACATAGTTTGGCTCCGCTATTATGTGTTGAAATCTCAGGAACCGTTGATCGCAGCGCTTCCTGGATGGGTTCTACGGCACGCTGAGAGTTTTCTCTTCTGCATAGATAGTTGGATCGTTAAATTTGAGCTAGTTTTGACCGAGTTACCATGGTTACGGCTTGTTGATGTCTCAACGTCGTGTGTGTAGAATTCTACACATTCAAGTATGGGGCGGCTCTCAAAGGGTTAATGGGAGTTGTGATAATTCTCAGAAGGAGCATTAGAAAAGTCATTAGTTTCTTGAATCTGCAAAGTATTCAAAATCAACTGCTGTTCTGGTTTACAAAGCTATGTGCAATGTTTACTAAGAGGTCTGTTTTACTTTCTTGTTGATGGACCATTGTTCATTCTTCCAGGACAACAGGACATGTCTGGACAGTGCAGTAGAAAGTCCAAATGACCGGAGAGCTCAGCCTGCGGCTAGACTAAGGGCAATTATCCGCTATCTTGAGAGCAAGTACCCAGAGGAGCAGAAGAAGGTAAGCACAACTTAGAAGAAAAGAAAATTCATCAAAATAAATTTTCCATTCGAAAACTTGCGTAACCAATGAGGTAACAATATCACTATATTCCCTCCTGACACTCACACAGTGTCTCCATGCTGCAAACACCGCTTTTGATTCACCAAATATTCAGGCATGGCTCAGTATCAGGTTACTGGTTCAAACTAATGATGGATTATACCCAAACATTTAGTGACCCAAAAGTGACGTTCGCAGCAGAAACGTCCCGGTGTGGGTGTTTGGAATGAGTGCAATAATGCAGTTTACTAAGACTGCGGAAAGGATGCAATAGTTTCAAATATTAATAGCAATGAGTACACTCAAACGTCTCTTATCCGGACGCCTCAGATACTGGCACGCCTCTCTACCGGGCACCTTTAGCTTGAGTTCCTATCGCAAAACTGCTTTCAATTTGGGGGGTTGAATTATTTTTCGTGTACACTAGTGTCAATTTATCACTGCCCAACTGTGCAATTCACTCATTTTCATCAAGACATTATATTTTATCCCGAATATGTGTAATATGTGCCAAAAACACTTCTTCAAAAAGCGGTATAATACATGGTAGACGAGCTGTCCTGAGATAACGGAAAACCTGAGATACGGGCAGTGACGTTCGAGCTCATACTGAATCGCTCACTCCAGCAATAATATTTAGTAAAAGAGAACATATCAGAGAAAACCAGAAAATTTGTGGAAGTCGATCTCTCCAATTTCGCTCAAATTTTGCAGGTAAGTTTCCTTTGGGGTGTAGATTGAATGTGCAAATCACGAGCCCCGTGACACCAGATTGCCAGGTCTCGTAGATCACGGTTCATCAGTTATTCTGAGTCACCTTGATCAAGAGTACGTGCACTTACAAGGATCGCCCGTTGATATTTAGATTGGATCACATGCATTTTGATGCCCGGCTTAAGAGCACGCTGGTGGCGTTGTAGGCCTTCCAACCAGGACTTTCCCTCAACATGCAGCACAGAGACTAGGGTGAGTAGGGGCCAAATTGCGTTGTTCATCACGTAAGAAATCTGTGATGTGGGCACGTCACGTACCACATGGACCCAGTGAAGCCTGTGCTGGTCAACTCCAAGCGACCTTGATGGCATGCTCGATGGTCATTCCTTGCTGTTGCAGATCTACATCAAGCATCAGCATGTAAACTAGCCACGGTTCCTGGTGAGCCATGTTCGGGGTGTTCGAGGTTAGTGTGAATTATGCATACAGTCAGCTTCACCAATAACGACTGCTGATATAACGACAATTCGCGAATAACGACAGAATTTCCATGCCCAGAGCAAAGTCCCATCCCATGTAATACATATAATGAGACTTTGGGTATAACAACATTTTGCGAATAAGGACACCTTTTTGACGCCCACCGAGTGTCGTTATAAGCGAAGTTGACTGCACCTGTTCTCACTGCAAGAGGACATATCTCCAAGAAGTCTTGCCAATGCAATACTGCTAGCGCTGTAACGATAGTGTCTGCGGGTTCTGAGCAGAGCATGCAGGAAATATGATGTGTCTTACCTCCTCCATTATGGTCCGTTTCGAATAGCACATCAGGAACGATCGTGATCGTGTGCATTGTGTTGTGAACCGGAAATCATTATTCTACATCATGAAGCATGTGATTTCATCATTCCTGTTGCGGTAAAGTTCAGAAACTTCATGCCAAAAAGTCACTTTTTGCATCAAATGTTCCACCGAAAAATTGCGGTGGCGCAAGGAGAAGCTTGTCGTTTGGAGTGACAAGTTATCACCGCTACTTTTCCTTGTCAGAGTCAACAATACACTTCGTTTTGCAGCTGGTCTTCAAAGCCGAAGTGACACGCCGTAATGTTAACCCAGCACGTGTGTACTTTGGAGCGACAGAGCCAACGTTCAAGACCCGGTACGGAAACCACAAGGACACATTCAACCACGAGCAGAGACGAAAGAGCACCGAACTAGCCAAGTATGCCTGGAAAATGACGGAGAGACAGGAAGACTACTCGATCCAGTGGAGTATTTCAGAACGAGCACAAGCCTACAGCAACATCAGCAAGAGGTGCCAACTTTGCCTCTCGGAGAAGTTCCGACCATATTCGCGGATAGAGAAACATGCCTCAACAAGAGAAGGGAGCTTATCTCGTGTAGACATGCCAGCAAATTCTCAATCGCAAACTACACCGGGATCACATGATGAGATATGTGGTGTTCCTGCACACACACGCGCATGCACGCACGCACACAAGCACGCACGCCCGCACGCACACACACACACACACACACACACACAACCACACACACACACACACACACACACACTCTATCTCTCTCGTATCCACACACATGTACACCCTCACTCTTTCACTCTCACACCAAACCACATATTGCGCCATTACCCACACTGGTATATGCTATGTAACACATATTACCCAGCCCTTTGGCGTGACACAACTACCACTGAAACCTACTTCATTCCTGCGTCGGTTCTACATGTATCTCCCATCTTGGTTATAGCAATATACCTCAGCCATGACATTTGCATTCATATTACGCACAGTGTGTTCCAGCGCTGATGTTATCTTCTCAAGCTTCGTGGTTGCAGCACTGCCTTAGCCTACATTACAATTACCCTATATAACTAGCGAATAGCATTATTATGTTTTATCGTCTGATGAGTGTTTTTTGAAACACAAAACTCGGAGTTGCGAGAAAGGTTTTGGTCTCTGTGGTTCTGCCCCGTGTGGTAAGCTCTGCCCTTGTTGAGGTATTGAGCATTATTTGCAGCATAGACCCCAGACACTTTGTTGTATGTACTACGTATACACGTATATTAAGTTAAGGGGGCGTTTGAATTGTCTTCAGCAACTGTTCGAACAATTTTTTTAAAGAGATTAGTTGAAGTGTCCCATTGGAAGATTTTCTATCATTTTAGAAATTTTAGTGGAATTGTCGATGACGTCCGATAAGATCGACCATCTCCACGCACTACATGACGTAGCTATTCCAAACCCTTCGGAAAAAAAGTCAAAGAACGAAAATTCGAACAAGCCCTAAGTGAATAGCCATAAAAGAAAGGAATTCCTTCTGCTCATGCTACCCTGTCCGTGACCGTCTTTCCTAGCACCTCACTTCACTCCAACCATGTTTCTCTACGAACTATTCTCTACCAACCACCTCTTCCCTGTTCCTACTTTTACATCTGTCATTGTGTTTCCTGTGTGTTCTATTGGCAATGTAGGTAATGGAAATTGTTCGACATGCCACTGACAAGGAGACTGCTAACCCTCACAACCGTCGTTTTCTTCAGGTAATAGAAAGCACAACATGTTATAAGTTATGACTAACTGTCCACCGGTGTAACCAGATAATTATATCGTCAGCAAGTGTGACAAAGGGCACAAAACTGACCAGGAGTACTTAGCTGAAAAACTGACAAGGAATGCTCAGATTCCCCTTCCATGTTTACAATAATAAACTTGAACCTCCCAATTTGGGTGGTCTGTTACTTTGCTTCGTTTGGTTGTAGTAAAACCGGTACGTCCAATTGTCTTACTAGTGAAGTCTTTATACAGTAACGTTCGGCATTCTTTGTTGCTGTGGGACAAAGCCCGTGCTCATCTTCGTTGCGCTTTCCTCCCCCTATTTAGATATTTCCTTACCTGAGCCTCCCAAGTTGGAAGGTTGTTGGTTTACACCTCTTAGATGTGTTGGAGTGAGGTGTTAGGTCGTTGAATGTCTCAGTACTCCTTGTCAGTTTTGTGCCCTGTTGTCGCATATGCTGACGGTGTATTACGTGGTTGCATGATTACATTGGCTAAAGATCCGAGCTCTTCAGGTAAAGTCTTTATTATCTTTTATACTAAGTATTCCAAGTATCAAGTTGCTATGGAGAGTATCGTGGCAATTGAGGTCATTCACTGATGTTATGTACTTGGTCCGGCTAATCGCAATTGTCGCTTATCCCCGACGCACTTTTTGGCAGGTAAAACCCAGTCCAATCACGATATCTAACTTACTTTTGCTTGGGAGGTCGTGATGGCAAGATCAAAGTAGGCACCAAAGAAAAAATGAACGCGACTAGCGCTTTGAATCGCGATGTATTCGTCTTTTTTGGGAAGTGGGAATCTGGCCATTCACTGTCTGTGTTGCCAAAAGCCAAGCGCAGCAACCCGAAGACCGGAACTGTAGCAGGTGCAACTGACATCCTGGCCTGGAGAGCGTGACAGGCATGAGTGCACGGCAGAAGATTATAAGCATCATGATGAAGAAGAAAGGTGTTTTTGATGCGATGTGCCCGGCCGACCTGTTGGTTGTTCCTTCTCTTGGTGGACCTAGCAGCCGCATTACAAGAGTCGTGGCCCGCCTATCCAGGGAGCGTATGACACCTGTCTGGAGAGGCCTGTATGCCTCATTCGAAGGCTTTGTTGAAACACCCTGTGGTGACACACAGGTCACACTGCTCACGGCTCCTTCAAGCACCGAAGTGACAGCCACAACTGTTCCTGTTCCTGTTCCCATTGGTGCCATACGACAGGCTGAGAACGCAAAAGATACTCTACAAGTCTACGCCAGCAGCTAGACACCAGCAAATGTCAGCTCATGTAGCGATGCGGCTCGAGAGATGCAGAGTTGAGTGAACTTTGGACCTGTATTACTAGTGTGGGTGCAAGAACGCGCTCCTTCGCTGATTTATTTTGTGCATTTTGCTTACCTTGCTTCCTTTCTTCGACTCGCTTCACCTGATTCCATTGCTGAAATTTTTTTCTTGTGGCAGAGAGTATTCATGTATCATGCCTCCTCACTATGTCTGTTTGAAATTTCACAGAGCGGAAAAAAAACTATGGAGCATTATCATCTTCACAGCCTTTAAGGAGGCTCCCACCTAAAGAAGTAAAAATAAAAGGTCCATGGACACCCTGTTTTCTATGCATAGAATGGTGGAGTGATGTCTCTTCTTCAATTTGGTATAGTTTGGAGGTAGGGTCACCAGGCATATAAGAGGTATTCTGGTGTATTTAGTGAGTGTACAATTTCTTGATTTTCGGCAAAAAATGGTAAAAAATTTGCGTTTTGACCCAAAGAAGCCTCCTGGAAGGAGGATACTAAGCATTTTCTCCATCATATGTTTAAGAACCACATTTGGAGGTATCTTGGCTACACAAGATAGACTGTGTCTTGGTTTTGCCTTTGGCGAGCAACTTTTTCGAAATTACGGGTACCAAAATTTCCATCTGGTGCTGAATTGTGAAATGGTTCAGCCTGCAACATTTTGTCCATGGACATATTGATTTTTGTGGCTTTCTGTGATCCTTGAGCCCCAAGGAAACCGATAATGGACAGTGATGGTGTCACCAGGCACTTTAGGCCCCTACCAAACAATATAGGTAACAAAATATGGTATTAGTGCAATTAGGAGTATAATCGATGCAGACATGGCCAGACAACAACGAGTTCATGGAATTTTTAAGGATTTTTATGTTTTTCAAAATCAATTTTCGTTTTCCGCTCATCAGTGAATAGTATCGGAACTGAGGGTACTGTGTACCAAAATAGAACATTTTATAACAGCATAATTAATTAAAAGTGTGAACAAAAAAGGAAGTGCTACAGCATTACATAATAGGTGTCAAACATAGTGCTAACGTATATAACTGAGTGCAGGCACAAAGCAAGAGGTGATACAGTGCAACATGACACAACATTTACATCTGATAACCAGCTACGAGAACAACTTTAGCGCGACTACATGCTTCTTTTGTTTACAAAGAACATGATTATGCACACGAATACATACAGCTTCCAGAACCTTCAACTGCTTAACATAACTTGCACGGCACAAAACAGAAAAGTGAGAATCATCGTACACACTAAGACAATCTGGACGTGATAACAAGTGACAAAATACAGCTGACTTTTTGCTCACGTCGCTCTCTTCCGTCTCATCCCGCTCCTTTCCTTCAACTTCCTCTGCCTTATCCTCGTCCTCCGTCTCATCTTCATCATCATCGTCCTCATCACCACCATCATCATCATCAGTCACTTCCTCATCATCCGTTTGATGCTCAGTCTCACTGCACTCCTTATCAGCCTCCAACATGGCTCCATCATCTCCACCAGCATCACAAGTCGTTTGACCGCTGCTCCGCGTCACCGTTGCTGGGTTCTCTGCTACTGCACACCCATTTCCACTGTCCATTTTGCGTGGGCCAAGTCCATTCCGTGCATAAATTTCAAGTGAATAGTTTGCTGTGCTTCTTCTGGGTCTATGGGTGAGGATATTGGTTTCATTTTGGTTTGTCGATGATCTCCCTCTCTGTCCAGACACAGTCGGCACCTTGGATCCCAGCACCGGGGGGACCACCGTCTCGGTAGTCACCAAAGGTAAAGGGGGTGGCTCAGGCGGAGGCAAGGGCAACTGCCGAGGTGAGGGTTCAGTGTCTCTCGGTGGCCCCTCCTCCATTCTAGGACGATGATGTTGTGCTAGAGTAGGCTCCGCTGCCGTTCGCAGTGGGTTGAGAAGTGGTGGCCAGGTCACTGATGGCAAACCCACCCCAACCCCCACGGCACCCCAGGTGGTTGGGCCGGTGGTGGCACGGGAACAGGCGGCGCTGTCGGCACAGCGTGTTTGTCTACTGAGCTAACTGGGTTCTTACACGGCCTACCACGCTTTGGCCGCTTTGCACTGGCTGCTGGTGGTAATAAGTGCAACGGCACATGTTGTCTGATACGTGCGTTCAGGTGTTGAAGAGTCGTACCAACGTACCGGGCAGCACAATTCCGGCACTCAAAGAGATAAACCAAATGGCTTGAAAGCTGGGGAGGTAGGACATCCTTCCTCACCATTAACGCACGTACCGTGGTGAACACGGGGATGAAGTGGGCAGCAAAGTATGTTTTATTGACTAGGGTCTTGATAGCTCTGGACATGCTGACAGACGCGTTGCCTTTCCAAGGCAGGCATAAGTAGATAGGACACTTCCGAGGACCTGTGAATGTATCTTTGTTATTAGATTCTTGCTTCAGTATTTTGTTCAATAAGTCATGTGGGTATCCATTCTTAAGAGAGCCTGTCTGAGAATACCAAAGTATGTGTGCAAGTAGATCTCTCCGATTTCGCTCAAAATTTGCAGGTAGGTTCCCTTTGGGGTGTGGATCGATTATGCAAAGCCCTTGAAAAAGTTTCTGAAGGGAACCTTGAAATTTGCATACCCCTCAAAAATGGCCGAAATATCACATTATTTATGGGTCTAGAAACGAGTCACGCCACAGCGTATACGAACAAGCTATGAACAAAACCCCATCAAGCCAACATTGCCTCACCTTAGAAGAGTTCCTGGAGCAGTACCGCTTAGCCACGCCAGCATCCCAGAAGACGAGGTCCATCACCCCCTGACGCAACAAATGATCGTCTTGAAAATAGCCAATTTACAAGCGCTGGCAAAACAGCCAGCTACGTCCTCAATTGGCCAGAACTATACACCGGCAGATAGTAGAACACCTCTTCTAGCGCTGAGGACATGTCCCCCATCTTCCTTTTGGGGTTTTCTTGAAATAAACTTTTTTGAATTTTTCCACTCGACCATGCTGAAATACGGCCAAAGTCATACCTGCGCAGGAAAGCTCGCTACACCGCGACGTCTCCTCAGCAATTTCTACTCCAACACTACTCCCAAGGCCGCAGAACAAAGTGTAGTGTTGACTCTGACAAGGAAAAGCAGCGGTGATCACTTGTCACTCCAAACGACAAGCTTCTCCTTGCGCCACCAATAATTTTTTGTGCGACTGTTGATGCAAAAGTGACTGAAGGCCTGAGCGCAGTTTTTGAATTTTATTGCAAGATGCACGGTGAGATCGCGTGCTCTGTGACGTAGGATAACGCTTCCTGCATCACGTTACGCGGCCATCGATCGAGAATGTGCCTGGAACGCTACTCGGAACAGGCCATGATGGCAGAGGTAAGATGAGCTTCATTTCCTGCTTGAACTGCTGAGAACCCCCACAAACTGTCCTAGGAGTGTTGCAATGGCAGCAAGCCGTTGGAATATGCCCCGTACAGCATGGAGAGTTATTCGTCTTTCACACTTACCTCCTGCAATCCCGAACATAGTCCAACAGTAAAAGTCCCTTGTTTTCATGTCGATGCTCGACAAAAGCGACTACAGTAGCTCGGTCCCTTTGTGTTGACTGGCACGCGAGCAGCACTGGCTGCACGCACTTGTCGCGTGTACTGCATGAGAGATTTCTTACGTCATAAAGAATGTGATTTCATCATCATTTCACAGGTCTTCGACCTACATGGTCAGGGAAAATCCCGGTTCGTAGGCCTACAACACGGTCAGCGTGTTCTTGAGCGCAGTAACAACACAAGTGTGATCACTTCCAGACCAACGGGCGTTCAAGGCGAGTAACAAGCGCACTTGACAAAGGTGACTCTGAAATCGCGTGAGCCGTGGGCCACGCGACTTGGCATTCTTGCGTCACAAGGCACGTGATTTCACCGTAAATCTTGCAATAAAATTCAAAAACTGCGCTCAGGCCTTCAGTCACTTTTGCAGCAACAGTCGCACAAAAAATTATTGGTGGCGCAAGGAGAAGCTTGTCGTTTGGAGTGACAAGTGATCACCGCTGCTTTTCCTTGTCAGAGTCAACACTACACGTTGTTCTGCGGCCTTGGGAGTAGTGTTGGAGTAGAAATTGCTGAGGAGACGTCGCGGAGTGGCGAGCTTTCCTGCGCAGGTATGACTTTGGCCGTATTTCAGCATGGTCGAGTGGAAAAATTCAAAAAAGTTTTTTTCAAGAAAACCCCTAAAGGAAGATGGGGGACATGTCCTCAGCGCTAGAAGAGGTGTTCTACTATCTGCCGGTGTATAGTTCTGGCCAATTGAGGACGTAGCTGGCTGTTTTGCCAGCGCTTGTAAATTGGCTATTTTCAAGACGATCATTTTTGGCGTCAGGGGGTGATGGACCTCGTCTTCTGGGATGCTGGCGTGGCTAAGCGGTACTGCTCCAGGAACTCTTCTAAGGTGAGGCAATGTTGGCTTGATGGAGTTTTGTTCATAGCTTGTTCGTATACGCTGTGGCGTGACTCGTTTCTAGACCCATAAATAATGTGATATTTCGGCCATTTTTGAGGGGTATGCAAATTTCAAGGTTCCCTTCAGAAACATTTTCAAGGGCTTTGCATAATCGATCCACACCCCAAAGGGAACCTACCTGCAAATTTTGAGCGAAATCGGAGAGATCCACTTGCACACATACTTTGGTATTCTCAGACATGCTCTCTTAAGGAATATTGATTTGAGAAATTCCAGCTCGTCGTTGAGCTTCGTTTCGGAGCAGAGCCGCTTTGCTCTCCCCACCAGGTTACGTACCAGGTTCACCTTGTATTGATGTGAGCAATATGAATCATAGACGATGTACTGCCCAGTGAAAGTGGGCTTTCGGTAGACGGATGTTACGACTGATGTTACGACTGGGTGTGCAGTAGCAGAGATCCCACCAGCAAAGGTGACGCGGAGCAGCGGTCAAACGACTTGTGATGCTGGTGGACATGATGGAGCCATGTTGGAGGCTGATAAGGAGTGCAGTGAGACTGAGCATCAAACGGATGATGAGGAAGTGACTGATGATGATGATGGTGGTGATGAGGACGATGATGATGAAGATGAGACGGAGGACGAGGATAAGGCGGAGGAGGTTGAAGGAAAGGAGCGGGATGAGACGGAAGAGAGCGACGTGAGCAAAAAGTCAGCTGTATTTTGTCACTTGTTATCACGTCCAGATTGTCTTAGTGTGTACGATGATTCTCACTTTTCTGTTTTGTGCCGTGCAAGTTATGTTAAGCAGTTGAAGGTTCTGGAAGCTGTATGTATTCGTGTGCATAATCATGTTCTTTGTAAACAAAAGAAGCATGTAGTCGTGCTAAAGTTGTTCTCGTAGCTGGTTATCAGATGTAAATGTTGTGTCATGTTGCACTGTATCACCTCTTGCTTTGTGCCTGCACTCAGTTATATACGTTAGCACTATGTTTGACACCTATTATGTAATGCTGTAGCACTTCCTTTTTTGTTCACACTTTTAATTATGCTGTTATAAAATGTTCTATTGTTGTACACAGTACCCTCAGTTCCGATACTATTCACTGATGAGCGGAACACGAAAATCGATATTGAATAACATAAAAATCCTTAAAAATTCCATGAACTCGTTGTTGTCTGGCCATGTCTGCATCCATTATACTCCTAATTGCACTAATAAAATTGCTTTCTCCACGCCGACTCTTTAAATATGGTATTTTTAGGCCAATTCTGAAAATAGCATTTTTAGAAAATCTGACCATTCTTGCCTTCTTGACTAAATATCACTACCAATGACATGGTAGTATGGTAATGTTATTTTAGAAGACGTTATTTTCATGCTGCAACCTCCTTTGGGCATACCAGACAGTCTGTGCTTGGAAAGGTACATGTATCATTACATGTATGTCATGTAGCCTTCAGTCCTAGCACATTGGTATACGAGTAGTGTACATGTACATGTAAGGCAGCGAGGTTTCATAACAACCTCGACCATGAAACTGGCACATGAATAATGTGAAAGCAGGCATTCAAAATAAGGCACACTAAACACTCACACGCGTGTGGCGCACGCACATAAACACCCACCCACATGCACGCACTCTCGTGCACGCATCATTGTAACACTACTAGTACATAGTAGGACTTAGTTTAAATAAAAGCATGAAGACCAGCCACTGCACTGGGCATGCATTTGCTGGTTGTCACTTGCGTTGATAGCAGCAGACTCCAGAAAAACATCTCATGAAGGGCAATATGCATCTACACACGCTGGCGTGCACACATACGATATACATGTAGTGTACTGTCATGCTCTCTCGGCAATTATTTTTGTGTCTCAAATACGGTTCACAAATGCGCATTCACATGCAACTCCTGTACTGTAAAGCCATTACCACACTGTCCTTGCAGACACCAGAGAGGAGAGGGATACAGAACCAGCACCGTGAGCCCCTCCCCCCCCCCCCCCCCCCCCCTCCTTCCACACCTAGCTTTGCACACGCGCGCACACATGCACGTGCATACACACATACATGTACACAGACATTTGCATGCACATGCACACAGTGCACTCGTGGGGACATGTGCATAACCCAGATCAACATTGCGTGCGAACCCACACATGCGGGCACGAGCACGCGTGCACATACATACGTGCGTACACACACACTCATACACCTGCCCAACGCTGAAGCGAGGATAGCGAACAAACTACGTTATACATAGCAACTTGTGCTCGGATTACACCTTTCAACAGCTTGCACACACACACACACACACACACACACACACACGCGCGCGCGCGCGCATGCGCGCGCGTACACACACACACACACACTCGCGCGCGCTCACGCGCGTACACACACACACACGCGCGCGTGCGTACACACACACACACAAACGCATGTACTTGCGCATAGGAAAGGATTCAAAATAATCAACCACAGGCATTTGCCCAATACACAACTGAGTGTGCACATCTTCGTTGTGGCATCCCCATTTTTACAAAAGCAGGATTTAGAAGTTCATCCCTGGTTCAGAACACAAGCTTCTGGCCAGCGTTTTCCTTACACCATCAGTGCAGTACAATTGTTGACAACGAACCTCATTCCTACAGGGACAGTAGCCCAAGTTCAGCAGCTCTGAGATGCGTCGTCCACTGAGCTCAGGATACCAAGGCTCTAGGATCCACAGAAAATTTCAAACGGCACTCGTGCGACTGGAGCTGCAAGTGGGTCCACTTACCAGCGAGTGGGCAGCCACTTCACGCTCCACATGTAGTCCATGCTTAATTCCAGTACCAGTACTAGTATCACTACGTTCGACATCGATGTCTTCACTGACTTCAGCCTGCTTTTCTCACCCTTCTTCGTCAGTAATATAATTTGTTCTTCGTGGCCACATCGTACTGCTTCAACAAAGTTTTCACAACAACATCAAGCAGCGTAGGAACTGCCTTTGTTTTGCATTAGCCATGGCCAGTGATTCTTTCCAGCGGTGAAACAGCCACGGCTACAGAAACACTGCAACGAGTAGAACTACATCCTGGAACAACTGCAAGCACAGAGAAATCAAAAAACTTCTTTCTGAACAACAGCTTTTTTCCGCATGGAACACAACATTTTTCGAATCTCCCCGTAAAAAACAGATTTCGGAGGTGCCCTTTTTACACTGCGCTGCGCAACTGTTCGGAGCCTCCTTAAGGAAAAGTTGCCTTCAACACTTATATCCAGTAATTGTTATTCTTTACTAAGAAAATGGCGGGCATCACGCAACTGCATTATAAAGGAAAGGAGGTTTATCAACTGACAACCCCTGTATTCAGTTGCAATACACAGTGAGTGGCCCGAAACGTCACAATGTTTTGACGTCACTGATAAAGAATTTTCATCCAGCGCATGCGCCAAGTGTGAATAGCAACTGCATAGAGTGGTTGTAAGTTGACGAACCCCCTATTCTTTAATTGTTGTTCTTGTGTGTATTATATATATACGCAGACTTACCTTCAGCTGGAGGAATTTTATTCCGAAGGCCAAGTGGACGCTAATACTCTAGTTGTTCTAGTTAGCGGGGAACAACTTGTTGGGAAGTCGACACTGATCAAGACATTGAGAGAAGAAGGGAACAACGGCACATCAAACGACTCGAAACGAACCCGAGGCATCCAGATGTCCAACTTCACTGATAATCTTGGTCAGCATTTGCGTATCAAAGATCTCGCTGGGCAGGACGCGTTTTCAGCGACACACGACATTTTCTGCCTATCCACATCAGTACCAAGCCTCGGTCTTGCTGTTGTCAATAGTAAATGGGACGAGAAACTGATTACAACAAGCATAACCACCACAGTTGGTCGATTTTTGAGCCGGAGGCCACCATCGGTAACATCAGGTCAGTGCGATATTTTATCAAATGCATTTTTTTGATATTTTGTTTGTGTCTGTTGATCCGTATGTCGGCATGTACTGTAGCAGACATGGAACTTCAGTTGATTGACTGGGGCCGGCGCCCTCAGCGCGAACAGAACGCTGCGTGCAGTGCACATGTTGATCCGATACGACCAGCGCTCTGCAGAGCATAAATACATGTGTGTATCGCTTGTCCACGGCCGCATGGCGAGTGCCCTGGGGCCGCTAGATGTGTGACCGGATTTCCATGTCCACGACAGTACATGAATGAATGAAGGATTGGGGTATGTGTTTGATTCTGTATACTGGTGCAGGGAGGGCACTGTGTGTGTGTGCATGCAGGTATGTGTGTATGTGTGTTTATGTGTGTGTGTGCATGCAGGTATGTGTGTGTATGTGGGTTTATGTGTGTGTGTGTGTGTTATTTATAGTGGTGTGCATGGGTAGTGGGATACCCATGCAGCCCGTGAGGATCTCGTGTAGACGGGTACAGAATAGTACCTGAAAAGCCGAAGTCGCTGATGGCATCATGTACAGTGCACATGTACAAATTCATGTAGTACTCTGCATGTCTATCCAGTGTGTAAGGGAAGGAGTGCATTGTGCTGTCACCATGGAAACATTACCCAATAGGGTATCCGTGCTACCCTTGGAAAACTACCCAAGAAAATCCCTGAAGAAAAATGCTACCAGACTCAGCCCTAGATATTCATCCCTCTGTCCATGGTACCTAAGGGTGTGCAGACTCCTCTGTAGCCACTTCATGTTTCACACAGTTATACACCAGTACTCGAAAACGGTCTCTCGGCTACAAATTCTTCCAAAAATAATAAATATCCAAATTTTCGGGCAAGGCCCATCTTCAGGAATAATAAATCAAGAACAAAGAATATGGTTATTATATCTGACATAAACGGTGAGACAAATAGCACCAAAAGAAAAGGGATAGCGCTAAGAAAATAAGCAGCAACAGCAGCAGCAGAAGCAGCAACAGGAGCAGTAAAAACACACACGAAGCAGGCTAGAACATTACAGTCCCCCCAAACCAAGCAGTAGCATCACACCATCCCTAGCGAAAATAAGCGTGTATGTGTGTGTACTGTTACAAAAAGCACAAACTGAACATATCAGTGACAAATAACGCCCAAGCATCTAAACATCGCCCAACAAACGCCAGCCCTTGTCCATATTCACCGCCGGTTTCCTCTTCCGCATGAAGAGGGCCTCCATGATTCGGCGGTCCACGTAGGATCTCTGCCTCTGGGCGAGAATCGAGGCCTGGGCGAATGGCAAAGATGACTCGGGGAAAATGTGGTGTTTCTTGCGGTAATGTTCACCCCAAGGCTTTCCCTGTGTGGCATTCTTTGCCTGGCCGTGGTGCTCCTCGCTGCGTTTCCTCGCCGTCCGCTCAGTCTCACCGACATATTACTCGCCACAGACAGCACACTTCAAAGAATACACAACATCCTTAGACATACATGTATTCCGTTGAAGGCCAGCATCACATCCACGACACTCAGCCGGCCTGCCCCTTCCCCTCTTCTTCTTCTGCCGCTGTTCCGTTCTCGGGCAAATAGGCCGGCTGAGTGACGACGACACCAACATGTCACGCAACGAACGTCCGGACGTGAAGACAACACGTACGTCTTTACTGAATGATTTGACGGTTTTCCGGACATTGTTAGCGAGCCTCTCGTTGATGTATGGCACCTTGATGATGGATGTGTATTTCTTTTTCTCCGGTTGCGCTTGACTGAGATGATGACTGCCGGTACTCCGCCGTGATGTGGTGCCTTGGTGTCTTTGTATGGCGTGTTGTATGGCTGATTGGATGATCGCAGTGGGATAGTGGTTGTTCTTGAGTAACGTTGTTATCTTGGCGATGCTTCGTTGACGTCCGTCTTCTGTTGTCGAGTTGGGGATTGCCCTGCTGAACTGGTTGTTCGCTACGGCGATTCTGGTGTCCAGCGGCAAGGACGACAGGTACGACAAGTGAACACCACTTTGAGACGGCTTGACAAACAGCTCCCAATCCAGCTTACCACTGGAGGAAGAAATGGTATGTAATAACCGGTGTATGTCGTAATCATAAGCCACACACATAGGCATAAATTGTCAAGAAGAACAGCGGACGACTCCCCTGAAACCAGGGTGGGTGGGCGGGCGACTTCAACTACCAAGAGGAAAAACAAAGACCACGATGGCAGGTTCAACGGAGTTGCGCAGAACAAGAGCAAATGCACGAAAATATTTGTGAGTGAAAAATACGTTTTTTGCACTCTTTCGCTACGCTCAGCCGTGAAAAAACAAAACTTTATTCACAAGTGCTGTGCACTACACTGTACACTGTACTAACGAATTGTTACTGCACATCAAGCTGAACATGCACTGCCCCATGTACTGGGTCTTTCCTTTTGCCCTTGCATGTTCACACGGAGGTGGTCTAGCAAATGAGATAAGAGTGTCGATACATGGCACCTGGGCGCGTACACGGATAGTGGACATTATACTAATCTTCAAGTTATTCCGAACTTTCCAGAGTTGGACTTTTCACGCTGTGTTTGTGCAGTGGTTAACAGTTTTACCACACAGAGCACTATGGTCTGTGCATAAAGGTATGTACCGCTACCAGTCTACTGGACACCCGCACTGTCGTGCTACATGAATCACGTGGCACAAGTCCACAGACTTGTCACAGGCACATAAATCCAGGCAGGGAAAGTGAGTATTGTGTTTGAGAAAGAAATTAATTATTTTATTTTAGGGCATGGAATATTCCCGCCTCATCTTTGCTGCAACAATGAGTCCACAACTGACAAGTGAGAAACAACAAACAGCTTCTGGATCGAAAATGTTCAGATCCTTTAGTGTTGAGAGCCTTGAATGAAAGAGCCGGGCCCGTGGTTCAAATATTCGGCTCTCTTCTCCAATTGAGCAACGTCCGAAATAAGCTATGTCCGTACCAAAATTGTCTATGCCCAAAGGAGCCCAAGATTTTCGGAAACATTCAGAGAACTCGCATCTATCTTCTCCATCTCCAGACTTTGCTCTCCAGAGATCTGATAATTGAATCTGCCTGGTCGGCATTAGCTGCTTCTTCTTTGTTTGTCGCAGAAACAGCAGCGCACACTTCTGCCTGGCCTGTGCAGCCACTTCTCCAGTAGATTACCAAGGTTTTCAGCCCGAGACCGAATACATGGAGGTCAGGCATGGTTCCATCCTCACTCACGAGATATATCTTCGAGGCCGCTCATAACACCCTAGTACGTACTATCGGTCGCCAATTCATTTGATGTAGCATTAGCACAATTGCTTTAAAACACTCTTTTGACCAATTTTTTAGCTGCATACTATGATATTGTGGAGAGCGTGTTGCTTAAAATCACCTTTCCTCAAATCTCCTCACCACAAATATATATATATATATATATACACACAACAACAAGGTTGTCAGTTTCATAACACTAAAAGCTTTTCACCCATTTTCATCAGTAGATACATGGGAATGAGCAAGAACGAAAACGAAGCCAGAATTTATACTGGGGGTAGAGAATCAGCAAGAATATTCTTACGCGCCTCAAGTTCACACTACACTACCATAAGAATGTATGGAGCAGTGGAAAAATGCGGGAAACAACACATGAGGGGAATGCAGTACCAGAACAAACACGTGATAAAGTTGTCAGTCCGGTTGCAGCTTGAACAGCCGCAGCACCTTGATGTGCTTCTTTTGTCGACACAGCTCTGGCCTCAAACTGCGAATGTACAGCGCCTCCAGTGTGAATCTGTGCGCGCTGTTCTTCTGCACAACTTGAACCTGCAACGCGTATTATCACAAAATTGCCGTGGAAAGGGCAAAATTGCATTGCCTTCCGCAAAAAGATTAAAGCTGCAATTTTGAACTGCTATCCTACAGTATCCCCCATTGTAATTTATACAACCAGGCCCGCATTCAGGTCTATCGCGAAGGATGTTTCACCAACTCTTGAAAATAGTAATTTTATTTATAAGTATGCGTGTCGCTGTGAGCGAACGTACGTTGGTGAGACATGTCAGCGATTTTCGGAAAGGATCAAGCAGCATATCCTAGACAAGCTGTACAAGAAGCCGCCTGACAAACGTGTGGCAACAAGTGATAGCGCCATCACAAAGCATTTGCAGGCGCAACCTGAATGCATCCCGCAAGAACGCAACAGCAGCTTCAGTGTCATCACACCAGCCCGGAACAGCGCGCACAGATTCACACTGGAGGCGCTGTACATTCGCAGTTTGAGGCCAGAGCTGTGTCGACAAAAGAAGCACATCAAGGTGCTGCGGCTGTTCAAGCTGCAACCGGACTGACAACTTTATCACGTGTTTGTTCTGGTACTGCATTCCCCTCATGTGTTGTTTCCCGCATTTTTCCACTGCTCCATACATTCTTATGGTAGTGTAGTGTGAACTTGAGGCGCGTAAGAATATTCTTGCTGATTCTCTACCCCCAGTATAAATTCTGGCTTCGTTTTCGTTCTTGCTCATTCCCATGTATCTACTGATGAAAATGGGTGAAAAGCTTTTAGTGTTATGAAACTGACAACCTTGTTGTTGTGTGTATACAAATTTTGTTCGCCTACGTCTCTATTTAAATATATATATAATATATATATACCCAATGCTGTAGACAGCAAGCTGTTTCGGCCATGAAGGCCTCATCAGTACAGCTACGAGCTAAATAGGCCGAGTTACCAGCCATGGTGCAAAGGAGGCACCACAGACATTAAGGTAGCTCGTCGCTCTAGCGCCAGAGTGCTCAAACTACAAAAAGTAGCGGGCATTGCGCGATGCAGCAGCACTAGAGCAGCCTACTGAGAGTGCTCAACAAGGCGAAAGCCGAGGAGCGTGATACCCAATGCTGTAGACAGCAAGCTGTTTCGGCCATGAAGGCCTCATCAGTACAGCTACGAGCTAAATAGGCCGAGTTACCAGCCATGGTGCAAAGGAGGCACCACAGACATTAAGGTAGCTCGTCGCTCTAGCGCCAGAGTGCTCAAACTACAAAAAGTAGCGGGCATTGCGCGATGCAGCAGCACTAGAGCAGCCTACTGAGAGTGCTCAACAAGGCGAAAGCCGAGGAGCGTGATACCCAATGCTGTAGACAGCAAGCTGTTTCGGCCATGAAGGCCTCATCAGTACAGCTACGAGCTAAATAGGCCGAGTTACCAGCCATGGTGCAAAGGAGGCACCACAGACATTAAGGTAGCTCGTCGCTCTAGCGCCAGAGTGCTCAAACTACAAAAAGTAGCGGGCATTGCGCGATGCAGCAGCACTAGAGCAGCCTACTGAGAGTGCTCAACAAGGCGAAAGCCGAGGAGCGTGATACCCAATGCTGTAGACAGCAAGCTGTTTCGGCCATGAAGGCCTCATCAGTACAGCTACGAGCTAAATAGGCCGAGTTACCAGCCATGGTGCAAAGGAGGCACCACTGACATTAAGGTAGCTCGTCGCTCTAGCGCCAGAGTGCTCAACCTACAAAAAGTAGCGGGCATTGCGCGATGCAGCAGCACTAGAGCAGCCTACTGAGAGTGCTCAACAAGGCGAAAGCCGAGGAGCGTGATACCCAATGCCGTAGACAGCAAGCTGTTTCGGCCATGAAGGCCTCATCAGTACAGCTACGAGCTAAATAGGCCGAGTTACCAGCCATGGTGCAAAGGAGGCACCACAGACATTAAGGTAGCTCGTCGCTCTAGCGCCAGAGTGCTCAAACTACAAAAAGTAGCGGGCATTGCGCGATGCTGCAGCACTAGAGCAGCCTACTGAGAGTGCTCAACAAGGCGAAAGCCGAGGAGCGTGATACCCAATGCTGTACACAGCAAGCTGTTTCGGCCATGAAGGCCTCATCAGTACAGCTACGAGCTAAATAGGCCGAGTTACCAGCCATGGTGCAAAGGAGGCACCACAGACATTAAGGTAGCTCGTCGCTCTAGCGCCAGAGTGCTCAAACTACAAAAAGTAGCGGGCAATCCGCGATGCAGCAGCACTAGAGCAGCCTACTGAGAGTGCTCAACAAGGCGAAAGCCGAGGAGCGTGATACCCAATGCTGTAGACAGCAAGCTGTTTTGGCCATGTATATATATATATATATGTGCGTTTCCCATCTCTTGTTGTTGCAAATACAGACCAGCCGTTCACTGTCATGATCATTGCGACCTTCCGCGACGAGATCAAGAGAGAGGATCATGAAAAACTTGCTGCAAAGCTTAACACAAGTTGTCGTAGTGTCAAGGAGGAGTTTGGTGATAAACTCCGCTTTCGAGGACGCTTTGCTATCAATGCCACCGTCAATGACGCAAGCTTCGAAAGCCTGAGAGAAAGACTTTCTGAGGTTTGCAAAGATATCCTGAGCGTAAGTAAAACTGTAAACCATGTTTCAATTACAACTAGTGGAGAAACTAGGAGATAGTAAAGGGATCAGGAAAGATAAAGTCTGGTAGGGAGAGGTATAGATGGAAAGATGGAGAGAAAGAGGGAGAGATATAAAGAGATAGATAATGAGAACGAGAAAGAGAAAGAGAAAAGAGCACAAGAGAAGAGAATGAGAGAAAGAGAGGCAGAAAGAGACGAAGAGAAAGATGGACAGAACGATGGAGAGAAAGAGTTAGGGAGACAGAGAGTGAGATTTTGAGTTAAAGATAGACGGAGATAGAACTGCAATGCACACCAGTGCATTAGACAGAGTTTATAATAATTTTTGGTGATCCGCACTTGCACCTCTCCCGTTAATTGTGGATTTGGTTATGAAAGAACTATTCATACTGGAAAGCAACCTTATACGATGTTCCAAGAATGACCTTTACAAAATAATGTGCGGCATAGAAAGTGGCAAGCTGCAGGGATAGTGCCTGGATCATGGCCTGCCGAAGGGAAAATATGGATCAGCGATTTTTGGTCCAAGACCACGTGGCTGTGAGTCTGATCTACTCAGCCACCAGGACAAGGTCCTAGGGGTCTGGTGATTTTTTCTCTTCTTAGGCAGTTCACTTCCCCGACTCATACTTTGAATTATCTAATTATCCATGAGCACTCGGCCGAAGGCCAGAGATAGGCACCCACCGAGCTAGAATCCAGCAGCCAAAGGTGGGGCCATGCATCATACGGATATTAAATGATGGTAGGTAAACAACAAAGAGAAACACACAACCCTTTTCTAAATATCGATCATAGGAAACATGAGAGGGTTTGGAGGAAAATAGGACCGAAAGAACTCCACCACCCACCCCAGAGCATTACAAAGAAAGGACCTTACGCAGGATAGCTGCCGAGCCAAGGAGAGCATTCTTTTGCCATTCAGATACAAAGCAGTAGCTGGTGATACCGATGGTGTCAAGGTATCCTGCCAACTGTTTGGAAACATGCCCTAAGTCCCAACTACCACAGGAACAATCTGAGTCTCAACTTGCCATAGGCGATGGATTTCGCGAACAAAAAGTTGATACTTGGCACGTTTCTCAACGTCCTTTTCAGCAACGCGTGGATCACCAGGTACAGCAATGTCAATGATCAGGGCCTTCTTGGCAGATCCATCAACCAGAACAATATCAGGCCGTCGGTGCTTAGTGAAGTGATCGCACCGGATGGTTAAATCCCACAGAATCTTGATCTTCTTGTCCTGCGGAGAGATTTTGGCATCTGAAGTATCTCTATCTTCAGGCACATTATCCTCGGGCGCAGGATGCTCTTGTGGCATTGCATTGGTGTTGGTATGCTCAAGGACTTTTCTATACCCGTGGTATGTGCAAACGTGCACTACTCCTACTCGATGACTGGAAATACTCTGCCGCACTATTAGACTTCAGCGGAGCATTTGGTACCATTGTCTGTGAGAAGGCGTTGGCGCGGTTTTCAGACTCTGGAGCTGCCACTGATGTCGTTGCCACTCTGATCTCGGACACGACGATGAGAGTGAAGCTCAGTTCTCATTTGGGCAAAGCATTTGCTACAAATATCGGAGTAATGCAAGGGATCCGCTCTCTCCCATCATGTACAATGTGTATGCTGAGGGAGCCATGCGCCACCTTGATCCTATGCTATCGCACTTATCTTTACCAGCACCAACCACCCAATATGCAGACGACACAACAATCCATGACACGAAGAGGCGAGAAGTCGAGGAGATGGTGGAGAAATCAAGTGAAAAATTCAATGGTGGTAACCTAATATTAAATATTCAGAACTACAGTAAGTAAAGCCGACTCCTCTTGGCGATCTGTCAAGCTGCTTGACTCTTTGTTAGGGTCCGCAAAGGATATTCAGGCAAGAATAGGTGCTGCAAATAGAGCGTTTGGCTCGATTTCATGGAAGCCGCATAAACTGAGCTCCAGACTATGTATGTTCTCTGCCCTCATTCTGCCTATCCTGTTGTATAACTGGGGACTGTGGGCACTGACACAGCAACTCAGTACTCGGCTGGATGCGTGTCACCGAAGAAAATTGCGGTACCTGCTTGGTGCTGTGTACCCTCACCACATGTCAATTGTTACGGTGTACTCCTCAACGCGACAAGACCCAGTCAGCACTACTTGTCGCAGACGGTGGCTGCTCTGGCTGGGCCATGTTGTTCGCGATGGACATAACTCAGCGTCCTACCAAGCACTGGAGATGGCAATTAATACCCGGTACATCAAGCGCCCACGTGGCCGACCCCATCTCAGATGGATTGACAATATTAAATATGATCTAAAGCACGCCAATATTGATATTTCTGACTGTTTTGAACTGGCTCTAGACAAGGAAAAATGGCTGATGCTTGTGGAAAAATGTGCTGCGCTTGCGTAGTTGTTCTTACTGTGGTGTTTCATTGTTCATCTTTTGTTTATGGCATAATGCCTTTTGTTTGATCATCTCACATGCGGGAAACTCGCAGTTGCAACAAAATTCTATTTCACCATACTTTTATGGAAGCTCTTCCCTTTTCAGGAGGATAATACCCTTCCTCCATTACACAAAGATGTGTGCTGCTGAAGAGCGGTTGCACTTTCTGGTGCTCCGCTCTCTTGGTGCACATCGATAGCACAGAAAGTAATGGCAACCTTCTGTGCTTGTTTTACTATTGCCAAAGACTGTGGATTAGTGGACGAGCGGTGCTCTGGTGTTTGTTTTGTTTCATGAAGAAAGTTTTGAGGAAGCCGGTCCATGAAATGGTCAGCAAAGGAGTTGGAGGAAACCAACAAAAAAAGGGACGGAAAAGCTCACGAGCGTATCAGTTTGGGACATGAATGTCCGAACTCTGCGAGAGCTGGGCAAGCTAGATATTTTGCTGAAGGAAATGGAACGACTCAAGCTGGATGTTCTTGGTCTGTGTAAAACGCGTTGGAGCGGAGAAGGCCATTTCACCACCGGTGACAAGTTGGTAATTTCAATCGGCTCGCCGAACGGTGGATATGGCGGAGTGGCTATCGTTCTGAGCGCAGCGGTGAAGAACAGCTTATCATCATATACTCCAGTATCAAATCGTCTCTTGGTGGTGCGCATACAGGCAACTCCTGTCCCTATTACCATCATTCAAGTGTACGCACCGACCTCGTCATGCTCGGCAGAGGAAATAGATGATTTCTATGAAAAATTGCAAGCTGTCATGGACGCCATGAAGAGTCGTCAGGTATGTGTGTTCATGGGCGATTTCAACGCCAAGTTGGGAGTTGGGAGAGACTTTGAAAGCGGTGTTTGTGACTATGGCCTTGGACAGCGCAATGAACGTGGGGACATGCTGGCAGAGTTCTGTAGGATTAATGGCTTGGTCATTTGTAACACAGCTTTTCAGCATAATCTGCGCAGCCGCTACACATGGATATCCCCCGATGGTCGCACCCGTAATCTAATCGACTACTGATGATCAGCAAGTCGTGGTTCTCAAGTGTGCTGGATTCCAGAGCTCGCCCTGGTGCTGAATGTGACACTGGTCACCATCTAGTTACATTGAAGTGACGCACCAAGCATTTGCGTAAGGTTCGCTGCAAGTCTATGGCTGTGCGACCGTTCGACGTGGCGAGACTGCGGAATCCTGACATCTCGGAAAAGTATTCAGTGGCGACTGAGAATCGTTTCAGCTTGCTGCATGACCAGTACAATGAGGAATGCACACCAGATGAGTTGTGGGATCAGATTCAAGCGGTAGTTATGGAGGTTGCGGAGGAAGTAGTTGGGCGCAGAGGAAGGAAAAAGCCTCCCAAGCCCTAGATCAGTGAGGAGGTGATAGCTCTGGCAGAAGGAAAGCGTATAGCCAGATGCACCGGTAAGGACCAAGAATACAAGGATCTGAAACTAGAAGTGCGCCGAAGGATTCGCTGTGACAGGAGAAAGTGGTTAGAGGATAAATGTAAACACATTGAATCTTCTGGGAGGAACCATGATGTCCGAGAGTTATTCAACACCATTAAATCCATTAACAAATCATCATTCCGGCCAAATCAAGCATGTATCAATGCTGCTGATGGCACGACCCTGACGGAGAAGGAAGATGTATTGCTGCGGTGGTGTGAATATGGGCAGCAGCTATTTTGGCAGCTGTCAGGAGATCAAGGGTGTGCGGCCTCGGCGGAGAATGATGCGGAGGAGCTTCCATCGCCACTGATTACCCCTGAGCCTGTGCTTCTCTTGGCTGAGGTTGAGCGAGCCATATTGTCCTTGAAGAAGAGGAAAGCCCCTGGACTAAATGGGATCGTGGCGGAACTGATTCAGCATGCATCCTCAGTTTGTGTTCTATTCCTACATATACTTTGTTTGGAGATTTGGAAAACAGGGAGATTGCCAAAAGCGTGGAAACATTAATAAATCGTCGTGCTACCCAAAGCTGGATCAGCTAAGGAGTGTTCCAACTATCGGATCATTGTTCTGATGCCACATGCAAGCAAGATCCTTCTGACAATTATCTTGAATCGTATGAAAAAGAAGATAGAGGCTGAGTTACCAGATGAGCAGACTGGTTTTCGAGCTGGTCGCAGTACTGTAGATATGCTCTGTGTTCTGCAAATCATTATCGAAAAATCTCTTGAATGGCAGAATCCTGTATCCATTGTATTTATCGATTATCGTAAAGCCTTTGACACAGTTAACCACTTACATCTTTTCGGTTGCCTTTTGGATTTTGGTTTCTTTCGCCATATAGTTTGTTTGCTCCAGAATCTTTACACGGGGATGAGCGGAGTTGTCCGATGGAATGGCTCGCATTCGCTAGAGTTCGCCATCAAGAAGGGTGTTGGGCAGGACTGTATTTTGTCCCCACATCTATTTAGCCTGTACACTGAGAGTGTTATGCGTGTTGCTGATGTGGACAGTATCGGTGTGAGCATCGGAGGACGCCAGCTGTCGAACCTACGATATGCAGATGACACGGGATTGTGTGCACATCCATCAGAAGTGTCTACCCTCACCAATGCTGTAAATAACGCTGGAAGAGAGAAGGGCCTGGCACTGAATCTGTCCATAACCAAGATCATGCATATCGGAACTTGTACTGCTGGTGCAAACGATACTGCTTCAACGCCACTTGTGGTCGATGGAGAACGAATTGCAGAGGTGAGCAGTTTCAAGTATCTGGGATCCTGGAAGACAACAAACGGTGATTGCAGCCTCGATACTCCATAAAGAATTGCCATGGCGAAAGAGCGGATGCTGCAGTTAGTTGACATCTTGAAAGACCACAACATCTCCAGACAACTGAAAATCCGGATAATGCATGCCCTTGTGAGGTCTGTCCTGCTGTATGGAGCTGAGAGTTGGACTCTCCGGAAGACAGATGAACGATGAATACAGGCAGCAGAAATGTGGTGCTACTGACGTTTGCTCAGAGTATCCTGGATGGAGAAGCGCACAAATGAAAGTATCCTGGTGGAGTTGGGAGTACAGAGACAGCTGCTAGCCAGGGTCAAGATACGCAAACTGACCTATTTCGGGCACACATGCCGCCCATCTGCCTGTGAGCTTGTACGTGACGTGATGTTTGTTGTCGTGGACGGTAAGAGAAAGCGTGGTCGTCCGAAGATTTCCTTTGCTGACAATATCGTTTCGTGGACTGGTTTGTCTCTGCATGAGAATTGCCAATTGGCATATGACAGAGATGCCTGGCAGTCACACTGTGCATCTACTGCTTACACAGCTGCATAATGTCGTTTATTATTTTTGTTTTTAACCCTTTACCAGCCGTACATAGTGCGAATGCGTCGAATTCGACGCATTCGTTTTTCGCTCTGTAAACCATGGTCTTTTGCCGCACCGCGGTCGGAATAATCGCAAACTACTGCTGAAAACCTACGGATTCACCTACCATCGAGAAAACCGTGTGCTGCACATCATTTTTTTCGAGAAAATCGCGGTTGAATGCACCTGGGTGAAGTTGAAATTTCAAGCGTGACGCACTTCATGCTGAGCACTGTACAAACAGCTATAACTTCGGTCTGGCTGCTTCAAATTCAACAAATGACGGCTCATTGGAAAAAAAATACTCAAGCGCCGAAGCTCGAAGTCCAGGAAACAGGTGAAGTTGAAATTTCAAGCGTTTGACTCTGGCACATTTCATGCTAAACGAGCATAGAGCAGTGTACAAACAGCTATAACTTCGGTCTGCCTACTTCAAATTTAACATATGAAGGCTCATTGGAAAGCTATTGAACGCAGCTTTCCAACGATGTTTCATTTAATATAGCGCAAAGTAAAATACTCAAGCGCCGAAGCTCGAAGTCCAGGAAACGGGTGAAGTTGAAATTTCAAGCGTGTGACTGTGACGCACTTCATGCTAAATGAGCATAGAGCACTGTACAAACAACTATAACGTCGGTCTGCCTACTTCAAATTCAACAAATGACGGCTCATTGGGAAGCTATTGAATGCAGCTTTCCAACGATGTATCATTCGATATAGCGCAAAGTAAAATACTCAAGCGCCGAAGCTCGAAGTCCAGCAAACGGGTGTAGTAGAAATTTCAAGCGTGTGGCTGTGACGCACTTCATGCTGAAGTATGTGTTTGCGCCCCGCGCCCGGTGCACAGCCCATGCGCGCATATGCGTGACATGCACCAAAAATGAGCGCTAGTGCAGCCGGGTTCTGCTGGTGTTTGAATCTTGACAGATGAACTGGTGCATGAGCTGAAGCTGAACAGTGTACGTATTGTCATGGTCCTCGAATTTGCTAATTCGGCCGCATTACTCGAGTTATTGTTCGCCATGAATGGCAACGTTTCTACATGTTATCAGCTTGGTTTTAGTCTCATATGAAAGGTAATTCTACCAGCTTTCCAGAACTATAAAGGTGTCAATACAAATTATTTACCGTTTAGTCTCTATTATCAATCTAGTGGACCCCGTTTTTTTTACATATAAATCCTGCGGCTGGTAAAGGGTTAAATCACTAGTACCGTAAAATCCCGCCAGAGCGCCCCGTCTCTCCCATCCGCCCCTCCCTGACTTCTTGTCAGGGACGTGATTGATTGTATCCTCGTATGACTCTGTCGCAGTCTGTGATGCCGTACTGTACTGCAGATGCGTGCTCAACCCCGTTGGAAATGTACGCAACAGTGCCCACCCTCTTGACCATGGATCGCACAAACCCTGCGTTTGCCGGGTCTGTACGACTCCTGGCTCTTTGGTCGGTGTACAAGATGCACGAACAGTTTTCGTAGGGTGCGTACTTTTTCATGTAGCACTGAATGTGGCAAGTAGGACTCGCCCATCCGCCCCTCCCCACCTGAAGGGTCGAGGAGGTAGGGGCGCTCTGGCGGGATTTTACGGTATTACAGTCTACAGAGTACAGTGAGCATGCACGGCTACAGAGTACAGTGAGCATGCACGGCTACAGAGTGCAGTGAGCATGCACGGCTACAGAGTGCAGTGAGCATGCACGGCTACAGAGTGCAGTGAGCATGCACGGCTACAGAGTGCAGTGAGCATGCACGGCTACAGAAACACGGTGACCTGGCTGTTTACACTGTGCACTGTACTGTTGTACAGTGTGATTCCTGCTGGGACGCGCTCGACGCATCTTCAACGTAGAGTCTACGTACAAACATCGAAGAAAAGTCTTCGAGTCAACCAAAACACGATCCGAATGCCGAGGGCTCGGGCGATCATCCTCGTTCGAATCGTGTTTTGGTTGACTCAAGGACTTTTCTTCGATGTCTCAGCGACATCCCCAAAGGCCAAGCTCTAGCCAGCAGAGCCTGGGTTTTTTTGTAAAGCGTTCCTCTGGCGGCGCAACTCCTGCTGCCGCTCCAACAGGAAACAGTGGGAGTGATGAAGTCCCTGTTGTTTCAGTTGAACTTTTACTTTCGCAGCGGACTGACACTTGACAGTCACACTCCGCCAGACGTGGAAGTAGCTGTTGTCAGCGAGCAACAATAGCATGAAGAACAGCGCACAGTGACAAGTGGACATAGTACCGCTGCCTATGTAGAGGATGCTTTGAGCGGTGAGAAATTGTTGGACAATCTCCTAACAGTGAGAATCAGCATTAATTTAAAACGACTTGTGCAGGCAAATATATGCTGTTTATAATGAGCGCAAAATTGTGTCCGAAATTCTGAAACAGAATCTATAGCGGTAATTTTGGGTGGAAAGCAATTCCATAATTGTCCGATTTATGTAAGAAAAGGGAAGGTAAAAATTTCCCATGAGAGTTGAAAACAACCTTGTTCGGTCTGCGTTCACTACGAGAAATATTGATATGAAAAAGGGATAAGATATGAGGTTGAAAATGGATGTATTTGAAAAGAATTGTAATTTCAAGTTTACAATGTACAATGTAACTGCGTGTACAGAAATACTGCTCTAAGTGGTGTGTGAGATTTACGGCTTCTTGACATCGGTTTTCAAAATGGCTGACCTGGGACAGTAGCATGATGTCTACCCCCACCCCATCCCAGCCGCACCCCCCCCCCCCCCCCTCAGCCAAATCCTGGACACGCCACTGAAAAGGGTGGAGTTCTTTCGAAAATCGGCACCAGAACACAACCCCAGCCAGGCCCAGACGACACTGAAGTGCGAAAATGAGAAACTGTTTAAAAGATGCGTTGCCCGAAGAAGCCGGCCAGCCACTGCATGCCGTACCAGCACGATGTTGCACGTCCGCACACAGCCAAAATCAATGCACGTGTGTTAGCAGCACAGGGAAAGCAAAAGGGTTTGACATGCGGGTTGCCATTCAGCCAACTCAAAGTCCCAATCTCAACTTCGACGACTTGGTATTCTTCCACAGCCTGCAGGCACACTGGTCACTTGTGACGAAGGAAACCAGAAATAAGCTTCTGCAAGCTGTGGAAACATGTTGGCATGTATACCCCATTGCCAAGATGAGGAGCGTTTGGCTGTGTCTGTATGCCTCTTTCCATCATGGCATTCTGGAGAGTGGCAGAGACAACAACTACCAGCGCCACTGTGGAGGTCGTCAAGCTCACAGTTCTGGCAAAGAACTTGGCGATTTCCAAAGTTTTGGCAACTTGTAAAGGCTGCGGAACAAAAACGAAAGTCAGCGAGGATGCAGACTCGATGTCATCATGGAGTGAGTCGTCATCAGATTCAGACGAAGAGTGAAGCTGGACTGCTTTGAAACGAGCTGTGCGACATCTGTAAATAACTAATCTCTCATATGCTGCTGTGTTTTCCACTTTGCAAAGTGTGTTTGTAGCCTAAGAATGCTTTAGACAGAACTGTAAATATGCAATGAAGTTTCGCTTACGGAGGAAGTACGTCATTAGTGGATTGTGTTCGTTCTCAGTGACGTATACATACATCATTAACGATAAAAAGGTTTAATCATGTTTGTGAACAGAGAGTACTTTACCCACTGTGTTGATGTGCATGTTCAGAAATCTTCCAAGCAACCCAAAGTGCTCGGGCAGGCAGAGGAAGTACTGGCACAACTGCATGACAACATCCGAGAGCCATTCTCAACAAGTCGGGAGTTCTCTCGACAGCTTTGTGCTGCTAGCAACGTAGAGTATGATGACGATGAAGATAGCATCAACACCGCACAAATCCGTCGATATCGCAAGATCCTCAATGCGTATGGTCTGGTATGTACATACTCGGCAGATAGAGTAATTTCAATTTACTTGCAGTAGATGTATTTCACGTTATGATGTATGTCATCTACGTCATGTACATCTCTAAGGGATCATCGCAAAAGTGTTTTATCGTCCCTGAAATGAACATCGCTCATTTATTACTTTACCCCCTCCACTCTCCATGAAACGAACGCAACTTGCTATGCTGGACGACGAAAATCACATGCATGTAAATGTAGTCCTGTACATATGTATAGTATCAGTCGACTTGTGATTTTTTTCCCGATTCATTGAAAACTGGCACCCTACCTTTTTGGTGTCTCCCGCACATAGTTGTAGATATCCTGCATCGTGTGACCCGTGCAATTACTCCTTGCCACATTTGAGGGCAGAAAAGCCCAAGAACAGGGAAATAGAAATTCAGCCAGGTTTACAAAATTTAGACAGCTATGCCATGGCAAATATGTGGAGAAGTAAATCCCAAACCCAGAATGAGATTCTTGAGATTTAAAGTGGGTTTGTATCCTCAATTCGGCCCAGATCGAACTTTCAAAAGCCAGCGGGACAGTTTCCGATGAGTGGACTGTAGTGTCGGTCGACTTGCGATTTTTGCCCCCCTCTCCCACCCCTCCAACGAATGATGCTCGTTTCAGGGACAAAACAAAAAATTTGCTACGACCCCTAAAGTGGATTTGTTCTTATTCGTTGGTTTGAGGGAAAGATGCAACCGTTTTGATTTGTTCCTTCTTCTTTTACAGCCCATATCTAGAACATTCCGATGCCCATCCTGCAATTAGCTGTAGTTTAAGATCTATTATTTAGTGCTAGACCAGCTATACACCGATACTAGTAGGTGTAAGGATGCTGGAAACTTCAAGGTGAATTGAAAATTGTGGGACAGGTTTAGTGTGTTGCTGTGCACATTATGGCTAGCTGGGGCTTGACAGCAGGGTACATCACCTACAGATTGCTGGCTTTAGGCTGATAAAGAGATCATTGAGAACGGGTGCATTGTGCTTTACACCTTAGATGGATTGATCTTCAAAAGTGAGTTTTTATGAGGGTGTGCTGCATAGTCCTGCTTTGGCTGGCACCAGAGGGTTGTACTCGTGCTCATGAGAGGATACGTAAACTCAAGCCAGTGAATCTGTACCCGTTTCCCTTACATCCATTTCTTTAAAACTTAGGATGGTTCATTTAACAGGTATGCATTGTCTCTCAATGTGGGGTCAGGCAAAGTGTGCTGTCATGAGGATTGGTTGGTTGACTTACTTTGTTTTGTTTTATTTTGGAGGTATTTGGCCTTTTTTTAATATCCTTCTGTCTGCGCATGCGTGTGGGATGTGTGTGCATCCATGCTTGGGCATGTATCGCGTGTCGGCTTACAACTATGTGTGTTGCTGTGTGTATGGGTTTGCATATCGTGTTTTTGTTTCTAGATTGTTTCTTTCTCATCCCCTGAGCTGGACGACATCATTGTTAACCGACCCAACTGGTTGCTCTCCAAGGTCATTGGTCTCATCTTCGCACCACCTGGGCTTGATGATGAAGATATGCTCCACTTCAAGGATGGTGTTGCAATGTTCCAAGAAGTCCTGGACAAGCTCAACAGCTGCGAGGGAGCAAAAGGTCAGGGCCGTCTGCTGCTGCAGATGGTAATACAACTAGGTGTGTTGCTGCAGGAGAAAGAAAGGATCCTGGCACCCAGCCGTCTTCCGACCGCTGACAACTGCCTCGGCTCACTGGCCAAGAAAGATTCATCATCTCGGTCGGCGTGCGCAGGAGTCTCTTTCACGACTCAGCACTGCTTCTCCACTGCTCTTGTTATCCGGCTACAGACAGAGCTGTACGCCTATTTCCACGAGCTTCACGGCATTCCTGCTGAGCTCTGGAAGAATCTGGTGGTAGTGGCTCCAGTCCATTCTACAGCCCGTGGTTGCATCTCCGTCACGGACAGCCTGCGCCAAGCTGTCGCTGTTGTCCATGCGCCCGTTGAAGATTCGCTAGATGGCTATTGTCTGCTGGCTCTGTTGCGCAAGGTGTTTGGTGACCTTGCAGCACAGTATAGCCCGGGCACTAGCTACTCCACAAGGATCATCAGCTCTGCTTCGATTCGTCAGCACCTCCACGAGCCAAGCGACAAGTTTGATTTCGCTGTGTACAATGCAGAGCAAGTCCGATCATCCGTAGCAACAAAGGGTCATCTCTCCACTAGCCAACGTTACGTTGATCGTGCCCCGCTTCTTCTCGAATGGCCGGTCAACCATGCTTCACTGCTCTCTGCAAAGTCCTTTGAGTCCATCCGAGAAAGCCTTGGTGAGTCCGACCTGCCTGCACTAGCCACCTGCCTGGGCCTTACATCACCATCTTCATCACGTGAGCACAGTAATCATCTACACACTGCAGCAGCATTGGTCCACAGCTGGGCAGTTACCGACTACCATCACACCTCGACCAAGCTTCACCAGCTGCTACTGAAATCACCGAACGCCAAGCGCTTTGCAAAGATCTGCAAGGTGCTACGGCAGCATGAAGAACTGGTGAGTGTGATCGCCTGTTGCGTATGCCCCTCTCTCTCAGTCTCTCTCTCTCCCTCTCTCTTTCCCTCTCTCTCTCTCTCTCTCGCTCTCTCTCTCTTTCTCTCTCTCCCTCTCTCTCTCTCTCTCTCTCTCTCTCTCTCTCTCTTTCTTTCTTTCTTTCTCTTTCTATTTCTCTTTCTCTTTCTCTTTCTCTTTCTCTTTCTCTTTCTCTTTCTCTCTCTCTCTCTCTCTCTCTCTCTCTCTCTCTCTCTCTCTCTCTCTCTCTCTCTCTCTCTCTCTCTCTCTCTCTCTCTCTCTCTCTCTCTCTCTCTCTCTCTCTCTCTCTCTCTCTCTCTCTCTCTCTCTCTCTCTCTCTCTCTCTCTCTCTCTCTCTCTCTCTCTCTCTCTCTCTCTCTCTCTCTCTCTCTCTCTCTCTCTCTCTCTCTCTCTGCCTCTCTCTCTCTCAGTCTCTCTCTACTTCTCCCCCCTCTCTGCCTATGTCTCTCTGTTGATGTATGCAAGTTGTTCTATCATTTTACTCAACAAAACATCTGTCACCTACCATTACGCAATGCACAATGTATTCTCGGCCGTGTACCTCTCGTTGATTTGACTCTCAGCGGTGTGGATGATAGACACTAGCTGATGTTGATATCAGAGCCATGTTTGTTGCTTGTTTGTATATTTGTTACTCTCCGCACTGCAGCTGGCGACCGATTTCCCAGACATATTCCGGAAGCGTCAGGTGCAAGCCGTCCAGCCGGTCTCTGACGGAGCTATTTCCTCCACTGTTCAATCAGACTCCGCGGAGAGCGTTCCTTCTGGCAGCCAGTCACACTCTGATCAAGCCAGTCAGTCCACTGCTGCTCGGCAAGATGATGCTGGTAAAGTTGAATGTGCTCAATACACCATGTGTGCTCCCTGTATGCTAGTGTTAGTTTACTTGTGTGCAAATGTGGACTTCACAGTATCTTGCAACACAATTTGATCTATGGGCTTGCTCAGGTCTCAAAGAGAACTTCAGTTTGCATGGGATTCTATACGAAAAAATGAACTATTTTCTCTGTGGATAATGAACACATGACTGGTTAGGTATGTGTGTTATGCTAACCTTGATGATTTGATACCCATTCCTATAATCGAATACTTCTGCACAGAGACAGGGATAGTTTTAAAATCTGTTTTCTGTTCTTTCCTGTTGAATGTATCAGGCCATGCTGAGCATCACGCTGCTGATGGCAGCTGTGGAATTTTCCTATCCACTTCACCACTGTAAGTTCTACGCATGCATTACTCAACAATGAAGTATAGAACCGTTGAATCAGTCCTAGGTAAAGTTCAGTGAAATGTACTGCACCATTTCCAACATAATGAGTCAGGCCGGCCCAGTGAGTGAGTTCTCAGACCATGATTGTGCAATGACAGGTATATGTATCATGATCAAGTCCTGACTTGAAGAGAATTGCTTCAACTGTGCTGTACACCACAGTGAGTTGGGAACACGAGGTGTGGAAAACAGGGCAACATTGATGCAGAAAGTGGGTTTTCACCTTTGCCCATATACTGTAATTGGTGGATCTGAATTTTCCTCTCCATCCGTAAAAAAGCGGCATCTGACGCCTTTGAATGTGCTCTTTTCATGTAGTCTTTTCATGTGGTATTTTCATGTGGCGGTGTCGTCATCCCTAGAAACCAGAAAGGTCTTATTGAGCTGTGTAGTTCCCAGATCCTATTTAAAACACCCTTCCCTATTTGAAGTACATAAGCAGAAGAAAGTAAAGATCGCAGATACGCAACCAAACCCCCTATGCAATTGTGTTGAGAAACACAACCAGTTTAGGAAGTTTTGCTTGTACAAGGTCACCACCATGCCTGAGATACCAGGGTGGCAGATGCAGCACGTGACAGTGAGGATGACTTAGTAAGTATCACAAGCAATGCCTGACAAGTTGCAAACCTTGTTAGCTGCATCTATGTTACCCTCACTATGAATACAGTGTAGTGAGTACACAGTTAACAGTGGTTGTCAGAGCAGTTAACTGCATGTAAAGTGGTTCACGCTTGCATCACAGCATTTGTTAACAACGTACACGCTCACTGGTGTCAGCACTCTTGAACCTCAGAACCTTGGGATTCGCAGGCAAGCCCACAACCACTAGGCCAAAGTACTGGTCAGTAGGCAGTGGCAATAATTTCCCTACACTGCTTGCTTAATGACATGACCACTGTTGCAAACCACTAGTCCTCAATTGGGAAAGGCCTTCGCGCTTATGGCATTGTATTCGTCGCAATGTTGTCTTTCGACTCCGCCGTACCGCTGATGTTGCTGCATGGCATACGCTATATGCGTTGTGTGCGTTTTGCTGTATACGCTGTTATGTCCAGTTTTATATGCTTATGTTTTGCATGTACGCTGTTTTTGCATGCTATAAATAGCTGGTGTTATTAGTGTTCATTGTTAATTATCAGATGAAGTGAAATATACTGTGTAGAGGAAAAGAGTTGTCCTCGTGCCATGTGGTCGTACGATCCTGACAATTTAGAGAATCTAAGAGGGTTCACAACATTTGGCGACCACGCCAGGATAGGAGCGAGCATGGCAGAGGAACTATGGAACAATTTGGAAGCCAGCTTTATCGACAATGGAGAGCGGTTAGGATTAGAAGGCGAGTTGTTGAAGGTACATGTGGAGCAGAGGCTCCAACAGTACATGGAGCGTGAGGAGCGCAGTGCCAGACGGCGAGAGGAGGCGCTCCGCACCGAGTTTGCCAAAACACTAAAGGAGATTAACGAGCGCATCGCCAATGCGCATGAGGGTGAGGGTAAAGCCGCGATGGGAGGTACAGAGGAATCTCCACGTCACAGCGGTGGGCGTCAACCGCTGATGAAAATCCCCTCATATGATGGAACGCAGCCATTGGAGCGTTATCTTGACCTGTTCGAGGACATCTGTTCCAAGAACGAGTTCGAAGAAAGCGAATGGCTACTGCGACTGCGCATTGCGCTAGCGGGTAGCAAAGCGGAGAGGATATGTATTGGATGAAATAATTACGAGGAAGCAAAACGAGAGTTGCTTGCCTCGCTCGGAAAGACTCCGGATAAAGCGTGGAAGACATTGCTGACAGGCAAGCAGCGGTCAGATGAGTCGTTTCATCAATAGGTTGTCCGTGTTTGCCGAGAGGTAGAGGTGTGGGCCACACTCGCTATGACAGAAGATGGCGAGGTGGACACCAAGCATAGCGCCGATATAAAATGTCCCCGGCGCTGCAAGCAATGGCAAAGCAGGTAATCTTGGAGCAATGCGGACCTGAGATGAAGACGTACCTGGTCGAACGGCAGTGCTACGGGATGTCACTGCGCCAGGTACAGGAGCACGGCGCGTCTTACCAGGTCGCGCACGGACGACAGGGTTATACTGCCAGGAAGCCAGTAGAACGATCCGTGCCAAGGCCCACGGCGTCGGCACAGTGCATGGCGATATCGGTCGCAGATGCAGAGAAGCAGCTAAAGTCGCTGCCACTGGAAGGGAGAAAGGGTTTTCTGCAGCGAGAGAGACTCTGCTGGAACTGCCTTAAGTATGGCCATATGGCCAGAGAATGTCGGTCAGGCTCGAGATGCACGAAATGCCAGAGGAAACACCACCTGCTAAAACATGAGGTGTTGGATAGAGCAGGTTACAGCCGGGAGAAACCGACTGAGATAGTTACGGAGAAGAATGTTGGGTCGTGCTGTCTACACTCGCCAAGTGTGCGGCTGATGACCGGAGTGGCACGAGTTGAGGGAAGAACTCGAAACGCGAAGGTTCGCGTGTTCCTGGACTCGGGTGCTGAGGCGTCATTCGTGACTGCAGCGTTGGTGTCAGCAATCGATGCAGAACACGTTGGGGTTGAAAATGTAGAGGTGAAGCCGTTCGGCGCGGAACCAACCCAACAGCGCATGGATAAGTACGCCATCAAGATCCAGGGTAGCTCCGCTAGCATTCGGGTACGCGCGTTCGTGAAACCAACGCTTGAGCTGGACCTGAAGTGCGCAAGTCCGCAGACCATTGCGCAGTGGCACAGTTGGGGAGTAGAGCTGAGTGACAAGCCTCAACAAGGGACATCAGACGACATACATATGCTGATTGGTGCAGACTATATCAACGCGGTACTGCACAGCAAGAAGGAAGTTAATGGTGAGACGGTGTGGAACACAGAGATAGGTAATGTATTATCTGGTCCAGCGTCTGCACCAAATCGAAACAGTCAGCCGGTGACCGTGTCATGTGTCACAGCCCACATTGAACAACTATGGCAGTTGGATGAACCTCCAGAACAACATCAGCACCTGCCATCGTTCCCGCTATGTCGCCAGGGCAGCGGGTACCAAGTGGGTCTCTTGTGGCGAAATGAGCGTCGCCCAACGGATAACTTTGCTCAAGCTAGAGTCATCGCAACGCGGCTTCTTGAAAAGCTGAAGAGGAATGGGAAGCGTGCGCTCTATGATGATGTGCTGATCAGGGAGTACCGCGAGCTTGGAGCAATTGAGCTGGAGCCATGTGAGAGCGATGCCGGGTACTATGTACCGCATCATGGTGTATTCCGCGAGCACGCTGCAACCACGAAGTTAAGAGTGGTGTTCAATGCCTCGGCGACGGCGCCAGATGGCAAGTCGTTGAACGACATGATTGACCCTGGACCGTCGCTATTGCCGAGTCTCGCAGGTATGCTATTACGGTTCCGTGAATATAAGAGCGCGCTGCAAGCGGACATCCGCAAGGCTTTCTTCATGGTCGCGGTTAATCCCGAAGACCGTCCGTACCTGCGTTTCTTGTGGCCCGGTCGAAGCGACTGCGATGAACTGTTAACCTGGAGGCTAACGAAACTGCCATTTGGCGTAAACTGCTCGCCATACATGCTTACTGCGGTGATTCAGCATCACTTGAAGGAGCTACGGGCGTTGTCTGCACCCAAAGAGCGAGAGCGTATTGATCTCTTGCTCACGAGTTTCTACGTTGACGATTTGGTCTCTAGTGTCTCAAATGCCTCGGAAGCTAAGGAGATGCAAGAGTTCAGCGTGCGTGTGCTTACGGATGCTGGCATGGAGTTACGCAAGTGGCGAGGCAACGAAATCCCGTGCGATCCAGAGGCCGGAGATAAAGTCCTCGGTCTGAAATGGAAAACCAGTGATGACTTGCTCAGCATAGCAGCGCTAGGCGAGTCCGATAGGCCGTCTGTGTGGACCCTGCGATCCCTCCTCAAGTGTGTTGCATCAGTGTTTGATCCGCTAGGTCTAGCAGCACCGGCAGTTGTGTCGGGAAAGATACTGCTACAGCAAGCCTGGAAAGTCGGAGGCGACTGGGATGATATGTTGCCTGATGGCATCGCAGCCCCATGTGCGCAATGGTGGGGAGAGTTGGCCGAAGTGGTGAGCATTGACATACCACGTTGGATTTGCTGCAATCTTGACACGCCGATTGCGCTTCATGCCTTCGCCGATGCCAGTGAGAAAGCGTTTGGATGTTGTTTGTATGCAGTCGTCAATGGACAGTCGCACTTGGTATTTGCCAAGGCCAAAGTGTCACCTGTGTCTCCGCCCACGTTAGCCCGCCTTGAGTTACAAGCAGTATGTATAGCGGCTCGCTACGCTGAGTTTGTGGTGAAGGAGCTGCGTGTTACCGTCACGCAAGTCTATGGCTGGACTGACAGTCTTACTACCGTTCATTGGATCAGTAATCCATCGTACAAATGGAAACCATTTGTGGCTAACCGCGTCAGTCAAGTCCAAGAGATATCGAAAAAGGTCGGCATTGTGTGTAACCATTGCCCGGGCCTTCACAACCCAGCAGATTTACCGTCACGTGGGAGTAGTGCACAGCAGATCCGTAGTCCGTTCTGGAGGGGCGGACCAACCTGGATCACGGAGCCCAATGACTGGCCCACCGCATCCTCAACCGCAGCTACAGATGAGTCCAGTGTAGAAGTACGAGTGTCAGCCACCACCTGTAGTCGAGAATCTGATAAGGAATGGTGGCTCGGATTCAGTAAATGGTCGAGGGCACAGGGCATGGTGACTTGGATGTTGCAGTGGAAGCACACTGAGCAACGTGCTGAATTCTATTTTGCAGCAGACAACGTATTATACCGCATCTTTCAAGCCGCATGTTTCGCTGAGGATCTTGAGCTGATCAAGCAAGGTCAACCAGTGAAGCCTGGGTCGAAGGTGTATCAGCTTGCACCGTTTCTGGATGAGCATGGAGTGCTCAGAGCCGGGGGACGACTTCAGCACAGCGA